AATATGACCACATTTGAATGGTATTTGTCATTTATCGATAGAATAATATTTGAATATCTAAGTTCTTATAGATTCTAATAGAGAAAGATACTCTCCATCAAATGAATCTATTTTCGACAGATCTAAATCAACTTTTAGGTTAAAAACTAGTGTTTAAGGCTTTCAAAGAGTACTTCAGATCTTTCTTATTATCTGAGTGCGTTTGAAAAAAAGTTCTAATATTTGTAATCAGCATACTTAACACACTATCGAACTATAAAGACTTGTAATAGAACAACGATAAAAAAAGATTGTTTTCGATACCTGAGGGGATCCCAGGTATGAAAAAGTAAGACGTGATAAAATACAAAATAAACTTGTAAAAACTAATCAGGGCTCAATACTGATTTTCAAGCTAATAAAACTAGATTCAGCTTCTTTGAGACGTTTGATCCGTAATTTTGACACATCTCCTTTATCTTTTTTTCTTCTTCTTACTTGATCAGAAAATGGATCAGCAATTAATGAAATCATTCGATATTTCATTTGTGTTTGAAGATTATTTTTTGTAAAACAATATGGTAAATCATCTATTTTATCAAATGTTTTTAATATTTGATTAGCAAATGTTTCATGTTTTTCAAGTATAATTGATTTAGCAATTGGTGTTGAATAAATTTCACCTTTTTGTTCATTTATCTTATTATTATTTATAATAAATAATTCTGAAAGAATATTCGAATAACATAATTTACGAGAAGATTTTCTCGGCTTTAATTTAGAAGGAATAACAGATGATGATGATGATTGAGAATTTAATTGTTGAAGAACTTGAAGTTTTTCAGTTGAACAATTACCTAAAAGACATGAATTGAATAGAAATTTAAAAAAAAAAATATATATATATATATATATTCACATTTTGATGATTCAAGTTCTTCTGAAAGTTCAATAACAGCTGTTATTGATGTAATCATTGACTTGTTTAATTTTGATTTTGATTTTGACTTAGGCATTATTAATTTTTTAAATAAGATAGAAAAAATTAAATTAAATCTTAATTTTTTAATCTAGAAATTAAAGAAAAAGAAATAAAATTTTAAAAATTACACAAAAAAAGATCGGCCAATGGATTATTAACACCTTTTATTAAATATGTTCTCAAGCGACATCATACGATCGTTAATCTCTATTCTATATATATTTGGATAACTATTATGAAAGAAAATCCTCTCTTCTTTTATAAGCGCGTTTTCATCAAGTACTTAATTCATTTTTATAGAAAATCTTTCTTAATTTCTTTATGTCGTTTTCTCAATTATCATGTTCAGATTCAATTATTTGCACAGCTATTCTATGTTTGGAATCAATTGTTTTAAAATATTCATTTTTTAATATAACAAAATGTATTCCATCATCACTTAATTTAGATTCAAATCTATATTTAATACCTCAATATAATAATTATTCAAATATTGAAGAGAAATATTTCACTAATGGTTTTATTTGTTCATATTGTACACGAAAAAATTTTCTACAATATAATTCAAATAGATTTGATAAATGTTCAAAATATATAACAAAGATTGAATTAAGAAATTTTTGTCAATATTCATTTCTATATAGAACAAAAGAAAATATATGTCAATGTTTATTAACTAATCAAACTATTCAACCAATTAATAAATGGATTAAAACTTTTGTTAAACTTGGTAAAAGTCATATGAATCCAATTCGAGTTAATAATATAAATAAATCATCTGGAAATTTTGTATATTTTCTAATTAGTTTTATTATTTTACTTATTTTTTTCGGTGGTATCATTGCAATGATATTTTATTGTATTAAATTAAAATTTATTCACCTATGAATATTTAAATAAGTCAAAGGACATTTTATGTATGCAAAACAACAAATAAATACAATAACAAAAAAAAGAATCATGTTAGCCCCTTTTTTTTTATTATATTCTATATAGAACATGTATAGAGCAAAAAACAGACACTTGAAATTTTCAAACATGTTTTTCTTTCTCAATAAATAATCAACATTCAATGAATTTCTTTTTTTGACACATCATGTCTTGATCATTAATGATATTATTTTTTTGTTTCTTGCATGTTTTTTGTACATATATCTAATGAAATTTACATTCAAATTCGAAAGTAAGAACGACATTGACTCAATTGTTTTTATTTCATTATTTACACATAAAATAATATTGAAGTAAAAAAAACAAAATTTTTATTAATTTGATTTGAATAATTGACTTTAAAAATAGATTGAGCAAATTTTCATAAGATGATAGAATAACGAATTCGATAACCAATAAGTTTTATCATAAAACAAAACAAAAACATCATGAATAATCTTTCTGTGTATTCAGATATAATTTCTAAAAAGAACAAACTAATATTCTTTCGATTATTCTAGTTACATATGGCATCTGCAACAGCACGTTATCCATTAAAACCAAAAACTTTAACTTTACTTGAATTATGTCAATCATTTCATGATTTTCGTCATCCACCAGTATCATTATCATCATATCAATCTCAATCATCATCATCATCATCATCATCATCAAATTCTTCACATGTTCTTACTCGTCGTATTTATCTTCATCCATTAACATTAAATCCACATTCAAAACAACATTCATTAAAACATTCTTCTGTTCATTCTCTTACAACATTTGATCATGAACAACGTTCTCATCAATTAAATTCTGATAAAAATCGTGAAATACATCATATTAAAAATAAATCATCATTTCATGGTCTTGCTGTTCTTTCATCATCAGCACCAATAACAACACGTATCAATACAAAATCTGATACTCGACATATTCGAGATAAACAATTTCTAAATATTGATGAAGATATAAATAGTGATTATGATGTTAGTACATTAACTATATCATCAAGTCAACCTAGTTTACAATCACTTACACGTGGTACATCATCAAGTACACATACAATATGTACACGTCCATCATGTGTAATGAATAATCGAAAAACTTATTTTAAATCAAATCATTGGGATAAAGTTGATGTATGGAATCATTTAGATCGAACATTAGAACGACCAATGCCAACTGATCCACCAACAACACCATTTAATACTGTTGTAGATTTAAATAAAGAAAATGATGAATTACAAGAACAATATTCAAATTATAATTCTATTCAAGAAATTAAAATCTATAAACGAAATCCAATACAAAAAACAAATATAGATCAAAATGATGATAATGATAATTATGATGATTATTCTATGTATTATGAAAATTAATCGTTATAATGATAGTTGTTTACATATTAACAGAAAAACAAAAACAAAATTTAGACTTTTATTTTTATGTTATTTTTTTTTTTCATATTTGTAAATATCCCGCTCATTGTAAACGAGATTTAATATAAAATTGCTAGGGAAACATAATAAATAGTTATATCATTGAATAATGTTTGATAAAACTATTGATGATATGCATGAAAATCATAATGAATTGGAAGAATATTTACATTTGGATATAAATCAAACAAAACAACAACATATCAAACAGCCAATATCAACTAGACATACGAATATTCATTCAAATCTAAAACAAACTCTTTTAATAAGCAAACAATTAACACCATATCCAACAAAACTTCAATCAAAAGTAACTATCATAGGTACAGATCGAACTACATTTATATGTGCATTAACTATGGCTTTAAAGCGACATGTCAGTGAAATAGTTGTATTCGATCAATGTTATAATCGACAGATGAAAATGTGTTTTTATGATGTATGTAAATAGTATGATTCAATTTTTGATAGAAAATTTTATTTTTTCTATTTTATATGAAAGCTTGCTTGTGCTTTTCAACTTTGTCCTATTTCTCGTTCAGTCAATCTTATATATACATCTGATATTGCATATACATATCGATCGGATGTTATTCTTATTACAGAAATGAATAATAATATAAATAAGGAACAACATAATAAAACATTTTCATTAAAACAAAAAGCTCAACAATTCATCAATAATCTTCATGGTAATCCATCAATAGTTCTACGTCTTCTTATGACCAGTCCAAATGCTGTTTTTTTGATAGTTAGGTCTTGTACTTATTAGTACTTTTAAATTCGACTAATTTCATTATCCTTTTTTTTTTAGGCGTCTCTCCATATGATTACAATTCATTAGTTGTTAAATCATTAGCCGGTAATCATTGTCATGCTGGACAAGTATGTGGATTAAGTTCAAGTATCTATAATCATCGATTACGTTATGCTATTAGTCAATTACTTGATATACCAAGTAAACATATAACTGGTTTTACATTAGAAAATCCTGATAAATCAATAGAACCATATTGGCCTAGTATTACTATAAATGGTCAAAGTATAAAATTAACTAAAGATGATAATAGAGAAGTAGAAGTAATTTTTATCGATCAATCGATGAGTAACAATGCATCACAAAATAAATATCAACCAATAAAATTAAATACAATTAAGAATGATACAGCAATGAAAAAACCTAAGTATTTAATACTATTTTGCCTTCTTACGAGGGAACGTATTTTTATTAGAACATAATGTAGTATTTATAGTCAAAAGAAAAAAAAATATCATGAAAACGAAAAGAAGACAGCTGAAGAGATTCCCTCGTTAGCGAATGATTAGATGTCTTTTATATAGATATTCAACCAAGCCATTGTCAAGTTCAAATATGAAAAATTTCATAAAACAAACTATTAATCAAAAAAAGATTACTTCTTATCATCGAAAAAAACATGAACCTGTTTTGTACACGAATAAGAATACATCCGTTCGAATTCAACAATGGATTCGTTCGAGTACACTTCTTCAATCGATCAAAAACAATCATAAAATTTTCAAACAAATAAAACATTATCAACAAATTGAATCAGGCATTTCGAATAATTCAACAAATATTATTGAATCACAACAAAATCTCTTTCAATCAATTCAAGATCAACTTATTAAACATTTAAATGGATGGCATTATCTACAAATATTATATCATCGTCCATGTTACTATACTTTAGGCATGAATTTATGTCAAGTCATTCGTTCTATTATGAGTAATTCACAAGAAATGCTTATTTTATCAATTTATATTGAATCATTTCTCAAACAACAATTCACAAATAAAGTAATAAATTAAAAATAAACATAACAAAAATTAAAAAAAAACATCGATTGTAGCAAAAGAAAATTTTTTTTTTCTGACACGGAATGATCTTTTTTGTGGAGGAGGATTTTGACAAACAAACGTTCTCAATAGGAAATGAAATGTAAAAAACTTAGTGGGAGTTGTATAAGGACTATTTCAGGCAAAATGAAACATACCCATCTTTTATTTGGCTTTGATTCTGTATAAGACATCTTTTTCTGAATAGGTCCTTTTAACATACGCATATAAAAATATTGGCTCTGCCAGCTGACTCTTAATTAAGGAGTAATTAGCAAATATTTCTCTAATCATATGAGAAAAAACAATCGAAAACTTCAGGATTGACCCTAAGGCACGAATCACATTCATGATGAAATTTTCAGCAAAATCGGCTTCCAAAACACTTTCTTTTAAAAGCCAGTTCTATCAAGTTCAGAAGTAAAACTTTTTCTTGTTATGACATAGAAATTCTGATGTTTTGGAATTAGTTTTGAACTTCTCATTCGATAATAAGAGCATTTTTTTGAAAAATCTAGACATAGTCATAAAAAAACTCTGAATAGAGATATTGTAGCATCAGGAATTGTCTACATTTAATTTTCAAAAATGGTGTCTCAATTCGAAATTTTTTGTTAAACTAAAATGCATGCAGTGAACGTCAATGTCCTTTTCTGTGTTATGTCACTAACGCTAGTTTTTTTTTACTGATAACTTCGTTGAATGAAGGTCTCTAGCGCTGATTCTGTCAGAATATCTAGTATAACTTAACATACATGCAACACATAAGAAATAGCTTTAGGAAAGTTCATTATCTCGATATATACGTGTTTTAATTTTACGAAATGACGCCGCTAACGAATGATTTGGTCCATTAATAGACAAAAAAAAAAGTCTAATTGTCATTATATTTCCTATCTAAATTCTTTCTATTTGAATTTCGTATAAAATCGATCACATTTAAATTAGTTAAATTGATACAAAATTCCAATAAAATAATTATTTTCTTAAAACAATTTGTTCTTATTAATTGTCAACAAATCTTTCATTCTTTCTTTTATTTGATATAGATCGAATTGGAAAATATTAATCTCTTTGCAAGTATACCTATTCTCATTCGTCGTTATGGTATTCATGCTGTACTCAATTTTAAATCACAAGTAGAATTATACAATCACATGCAAAGAACTCTTGAAGAAAATCGGATATTCCGTGATATGATAAATTATCCATTACAAAAAACTCTTTTAGTCTATGATTTTATGAAAAAAAAAAAACAAAAAAAAAAAAATGATTAACTGATATAAAATCAATTCATAACATATATCCTATTATTCGGTTTTTTTTTCCTAATTTAAACAAATAAAGATATAACAATGGCAAAGAATTTCAGAAAAAAGAAAGACAAACAAAAATAGGAAAAAAATCATAAAAAAGAAACAAATGCACATACACAATAGAAAAAATTTGTATGATGAAAATAAATCATTTGTTATGGCAACAATCATCGAACGAAGCTTGGATACTGGTATCATTGTTGTAACTTAGAAGCATAATTCCTAAGACAGGAAGAAAAAACACATTATAATCGCTTATATTAAATCAATACAATTTAATTTAATAGAAAATTTCTCTTAACTCACTTATTTGAAAGGACGCTGTCGGATAAGATGACCATCTCCTTCCATTTGAAAAGTTCATTAATGTCGTTTGGTAGGGTAACTCGTGACGTATCGAATGGTTTATAGGATATTATATTTCCATCAAGTTTTCATGTTCTAATCAGCTATACATCAGCTAAGAGATATCATAGTAATTGTGAATCATATGACTAAATATAGAATTTTGTTCAAAGTTAATCCAATTGAGTTTTTATGTGGTTTTCAATTGCGTATATCTAATGATTTTCACAATAGCTTTCTGCCTATCGGGAACCTTAGCATTTTTCTTATCTTTTATAATTTTTAGCTTTTAAGACGTTTTAAATTTTTCAATACTGCCTCTCAGGACAAAGACGATCAACCATGCAACTTTTTCATATATTGTGTACCCGTAAGTTCTATAAGTTTACGAATTGATTGTCCTCTAAATTGAAGCACATCATACTCAAATCGGCTAATGAATGACCAATGGACAGAAAAGTATATTAGGTTTACAATAAATATTTTTTTTGAATGAAAAAATTTCTGTCTATTGTGTATAGATTTTTCGAAAATAGCAAAAATATTTTTCACTGCCAGATTCCTGGACAAAAGTACGAGGACATGTAAAAATTTTAATTTTTAGAGAAGATCGAACATATACTGAATCTAACAGGACTCCATATTCCAATCATATGTGGCTACTCAAAATCAAAATTTATGAGGAACAATATAAAGTAACTACTAATCTTTGTTATAGCCCATTTCTATACTTCTTCCAGAAATCTGAAAGAGGAAAATTTTTTGCTCTATGTTTGAAAGATTTATATATGCCAAATCATAGAGCACGATGAACTTATTATGAATAGATAGAAACTTTTTCATTCAAAAAAACAAATTCACTGTAAATCTGATATACTTTTCTGTCCATTGGTCATCCATTAGACGATTTGAGTATGATGCACGTCAATTCAAAGGACAATCAATTCATATACTTATAGAACTTGGCAGCATCCATTTCATGAGAGAGCTGCACGGTTGGCCGCATTTGTCCTGAGAAACCGTATTGAAGAATTTAAAACATTCTAAAAGTCACAAATTACCAAAACTGAGAAAAATGCTGAGGTTTTCGATAGACAGAAAGCTATTAAGGAAATTATGAGATATACATGATTGAATTAATTTTAAACAAAATTTCATATTCGATCAAATTACTTACAATTACTATAATATTGCCAAACTGATATATGGTTGCTGAGAACTTAAAAATTTGATGAAAATGCAACTTTCCATATACCATTTGATACATCACGAATTATTCTACAAAATGATATAAATGACTTTTTTAAATTAAGGATGATTGTCTTATCAAACAAGATCCTTTAATATTTGTTAGATGTGTTGAACTTTGATTTTCAACAAACAATATTAAATATACAAAATAATTTGTTATGATCTCGTCCCTGAGTATTTTTATATGTATTGTTTATGTACTTGATAACAGCAAAAAAAATCAAGAAACAAGATGAAACACAACGAAAACAAAATCAAAATACATATGCAGTGTTATCAATGTAAGCATATAAAAAGAGACGAGAAAAAGCAGAGGACAATGGTCTTGTTAGTTGTATAATATGATGTAGAAAACAAAAAATAATTATAACATGATTATATCACTGACCTTCTATTACAAAAGTCAGACAGGTCATAATATTGTTGGTTTTCCGGCAAAAAAATGTTTCTAAAATAAAAAGAAAAAAGAAAAGCATTTCTATATTTCTTTCTGTGTATCGATCGATTTCAATATTACTTACAAAAAATTCATAACAAGACCAAGCAACAGCTGTACTCGGCATTTGATAAAGAACACGTGGTGTTAAACCTTTAAAAAAAGCAGCTATACCACCTTGAATATATATTACACGAACGGCACTTATAAGTCCTCTTGCTTCTGCAGTTGCTAATACTGTATTTCCATTTGTTGTTGGTGTTATATTTGGATTATTTGGTAATGAACATGTTGGACCACCAGTTGATGCTAAACAACATTCTTGTGTATTTAATAATGTTTTACAAACATCTAATGGTGTTGTTATAGCTGAAGCTATAGCACCAGCTCCAGCACCTGATATAACATGTGATAATGGATCATATAGTCGTGAATAATTTAATTCATCTTGAAATAATTCATAAACAATAAGATGTACTGAATGAAATGGGATATTCATTGTTAATTGAGTTGTATAACTTCGATAGAGAACAGATAAACCTTCACCTCGACGAATTTTACGTAAACAATCAAGTGCACCCGAATATGGAGATGCATATATTTGAAGACGTTGTTTAATAGCTAAAATTTAATAGATTAATTTTTATTTTATTAATTAAAAAAATAAAAATATATATATATATATGTTTTATTTTTACCATCAGCAGGTACCATTAAAGCATCATGAAATAAAGTAGCAAAACAACCAGCTATTCCATTAGCTAATGGATTATGGCCAGCTTGAGAATTTCCACTTAATAATATTTTCATTCTTTCATAACAAGAAAAATAAAGTGCATGAGCTGGTCCAGCTGCTAAAGCTACAACATGGACACCACGAACCTAGATAAAACAACAACAATATATAGATTAATCTATATGTAAAATACAAAAAGAAAAAAATTCACCGACAGGTCTGAATATGCCTTCATTAGCCATCATTTCTCGTATAGCATGTGAAATTCCACGATATTTTGCATGAGGATTAGGGTTCATACATTGCATCCGAGTCTAGAAAAAAATTTTAAAGAAATTTTAAAGATTATTTTAACTAAACAAAATATTATTAAATATACTTTAACAACATCAACGGGATACATAATACAATGTTCACCAATACCAGCTAATGCTCCAGCAGCCATATGTATAGATGGATGGACTGATTCTGGAAGACTTTCATAATCATCACTTGTTGCCATCTTCACTTGTTTAATTAATTGTTTGATTTAGAATTTAAAATACTATTTTGGTCTCAGATAATATTATTGAAGAATGCAAACGTGAAAGTCTTTTCATTATAGATGAATCTAAAATTAACGAAGCAAATATTACGCTATTTCCTCTATCTTATCAGTTTATGACGTAAAAGAAATAGAGAAACGAAAAAAGATTCTATTCTATCTTCAAACTCTACTTCTAATCATATGGCGAGAGTAAGGACAAAAAGCAGAGTAATGCTTCTTTTTTGCATTAGGTGAAGTGTAATGCAAAAAAAAAGCAGAAATGGCTTATGCTAACATATAGGTGATGGAAAAAAGAAAGAGAATAATGATGATGCACATTTTTTTTTTATTCTCTTCTCTTCTTTATAGTTTCTGTCTTTTCTTTATCATTTAAGATGAAACAAAATATCACACTTTACCACTGAAAAAAAACATATATATATACAGCAGATAAATCCATTTTTTTTTGTTCGTTTTTCTATTTTTTCTTAACATCTTTTTAATGTGTTTTTTTTCTCCACATGTTGATTTTTTCTAATGCCTGTGTATAAATGAGAGTAAATTTCGAAGTTATAACAACATGAACAAGAACAACAATAAACGACTTTCTGGAAAAAAAGAAAGAAAAGAACGAGAAAATGTAGCATCTGTAAAAGAAGAGAAAAAAAATAGACAAATCACAATTGATTTAGTCTGACTTTTTTTTTCTTGTTTTTTTTTTTATTATTTGTTCTTTTATTTTTTCTATTGTTGTTTGCATTCTGGTTGTTGTCCTGCGCCATTAGCACCAGCAGCTGAACCTTGTTTACCACCTCGAGATTTCTATTTAAAAACAAAATATGTTATTTTATTTATGAAAATTCATAAATAAAATAAAAATTAAATTTTAAACACTCACGCCTCCAGGACCACCTGATGAACCATGTTTACCACCACCACCATGATGATGTCCACCTCGACCACCTGCATGATGATGATGATGATGTCCGTGACCTAAATCAAATGAATTAATATTTCAAAAACAAAAAAAAATTTTTTTTTTTCTTATTTACCTTCCTCTTCATCTTCTTCTAGATCTTCATCATCATCGTCATCTAAAATAAAACAAACGAAAAATCTATTAACACAATCTCTGTGAGATTAAAATGTCAAACACGATTTAATTCATGTTACTAATCACAGATAGATTGCTTTATGTTCTCAATTTTGATCGTTTCTAACTGGTTGAAAGACGATACAACTAATCAAGCTGAAATTTTTATTACATAACGAGCACTAAAAATAAGGAGATGCGTGTTTGAAGAAAAACTTTTGAAGTGAATTTTTTTCTGAGAAACTCTAGTTTTCATAAGGTCACATTCTAGTATATTATGGCCCTTCATCAAATTTTATTTGACTGAGCTGCAGTAGTTAAAATTTCAGCTTGATCAATTGTACCATCTTCGAAAACCAGAAACCGTCAAAAAAGAGGGAAAGCACTCTTCATCTACCAGAAAATACAATAAGGAAGTAGTTCATATATTAAAACGAGATGTTATTCATGTATCAATGTCTGTCATAGCTTGTGACGATCTCTAACTAGTGTCTATTACCGTCGGTGGAAGATTCAAATTTCTACCCCCTATTATTTCAATACTTCTTTTAGATCATGTTTGATAAAATTGATTAGTTTTTGTTTTATATTTTTTTTTCTCGATATTCTTACCCTCGTCTTCATCTTCGTCGTCATCATCATACTAAAAAGAAAAAGGACATTGATATTTTTCTAAGGATTTTGTTGAATTAGTTATATGTCTTACATCTCCATCTTCTTCATCTCCAGCTTCACCTGTATAATAAAGTACAGCTTTAGGTACAATTGAATCTCGAAGCATATGACCAATTTCAAAATCAGCTGCTAACATACGCATTTCATCACTATCTTCAAGTTCAGCATCAAGTTCTTCAGGTACTAAAACAAAATGAATAAAAAAATATTTTTTCTTTTTATGAAAAACAAAAAAATAAAAGATTTTATCATAAAATATACCATTTGGTGGTGTAAAAAAGTTAAAAAATGAATCAGTTTGTACTTCTTTAGTAACAACACGAATTGTACCACGATTTTTATGTTTTTGTCGTTTTTTAACCATTTTAACAGTAACATTTTTTCCTTTACTCCATTGAATTTCACAACCTTTGGATTTAACAATTTCTGGTCCTTCATATGATAATGGTTCATGTTCATCCGGTCCCGTACGAAGTTCATAAGATTTTGTTAATATTGTATTTGAAAAATATTCATTTGATGTAAATTCAAATTCAATTGTAAAACCTTTTTGTTGTGGTTCATCTTGCATTGTTATACGTACATCAACAAGATGTTTCAAAACAGGTTCATCTTGTTCCTAAATTAGACCAAAAAAAAAACAACAAACAAACACGAATTTTAAATTTATCTAAATAATATTTTTTTGTTTTTCAAAAGTACCTTTATGAGTTCTGAGAGAACATCTGAATTTTTGAATACTTGTAACCAAAATTCTGGAATGCCGACGGCTTTTTCTAAAGAAAATAATAATAAATAAAACTATGATTAGTGATGTTTCTTGTTGACAAATCTACTGTTAAAATGAAAAATTTCTCTCAACGAAGAGAAATGAACGAAGTATATAAGAGAATTACAGATCACTTAAGACCCTTCTTGTGTAGCATGTATAATACATGATAAACATGTGTAGTGAGTGGAATTCTGTATAAGGATATAAGTAATTTACAAAGCTTATATTTCGAAGATTTTTGGCTATGCTGCATCAATTGCTGGAATTTTCTGAATTCTTCGAACACACTATTATATTTAGTAATTCACTAGAAAGTCATGTATTCTCAATTTTCAAGTCCAGTTATGGATTATGAATAGAATGTTTAGAACAATCACTATTCATATTTGAAAAAATATGTGCATTAGTGTCTTTGGAAATACATGTTACTGTTATGACAACATGCACTACAGGCCAAAAGGATAATGCATCAAAGTATCTAAAGTTTCCTTTTTACATTTATTTTACTTGAGAATTATCAGAAATTTTATGTCATACACAGAAATAACAAGCATAACTTCTCTATACCCAACCAGCATCTACTAAACCTTTCAACAAGATTGTTCCAGATTTTTTCATGGAAGAATTCCCAGTATCTGGATTAACAAAAAAAACGTGTTGTATCTTCTTGTAGTATTCCAGATGGTTTGGTTAACCAATAACATCTGACATCAAAGGCAAATGGCGCGTGTTATTTTCCTAGAAATTATAACCACTGTTGGAAACAGTCTACTCATATAAAATTCTATGAATCGTTCAAAAATCGACTTTTTTAATTAACAATATACGATTTCTTAGTGAATTACTAAATATTATAATAGTCAGCGAATCCTTAAACCATTATCGACCAACTCAGCAAGGTTAAAAACCTCTAGAACTATCATTTCGATCTATTATCAATATTTCGCATACCTTGTTACTTCTGCCCACTATGCAAGGGTGTGGTGAAGAATTGCGGGTAAGGATGGAAGTAAAAAGTTATATTGAGAATTAGCAGGATAACGAAATTTTCTAAGTTATTACCTCCCCTTCGACGATTCCGTCGTGGCTTGTGGCAAACAGTTTGTTATATATATGTTAGGAAAAAAACAAAATAAAGATTAACCTAAATAGCAACTCATACAGACAAAATGCTCTAATACTATCCACATATCTAGGGCATTACTAAGTAATAAATAAATGTCATCCCAGACATTTGGATGTCGAAGGAGAGATACATAGAGTGGTAAAAAGAATCAAACAAAAAGCAGTTATATTGTTTTCTATTGAGAAACCAATTATGCAATATGCGCATAAACTTCGTATCCTAATTGCTATGACAGAAAAGCTTTATTTATGATAATTTTCTACATTAAAAATTTTTCATATAAATAATAATTTTCAGAAATTCGAAAGATTATCCTCGACATGCGTGCATACACACGGGTAGATTCTACAAGTCTGATTAAGATTCATACGACTAAATAAATCCAATAGATTTTTAATGTTTAACAAAGAGATAATATTTTCTATAAATAATCAATCAACTTTCTTCTAAATTATTAGATGCAGCTAAACAATAATTTTCCAGGACATAGAATTACATTCTATCAAATATCTTAATATAGACTGACAAGGTTATCTTGGCCTATCTTTCTCTTATTTCGACACTTTCATAAAACATTCAAACAATTTTTCTATATATATATTCGTACCTCATATAGAAGAGTTTTTTTTGTTATACAAAAAATTAACAATCAGAAGTTCTAATAAAATATTCTAACTAAAATAATATCATCTTACAAATAGGAATCATTCTACAATTTAAAAAAATCCAAAATAATGAAATCTAATCAATATCTTATATCAATATATAAAAGGATACATGAAAAAAAAAATACGCAGTCCTTGCTACTAAATAACATTGTTATGCATTCAAGGTTATACAAAATAAATATAGGAGTTTCTTTTCTTTTGATTTATATTCCTATGAAACTCTAACGCATTCTTTATCAATTGTTAAGATTAACCTATTATCATACCTTCTTCTTTTTTTTGTTCGTCGGTTTTTTCTGCCGTTTCTGCTGCTTTTTTAGCTTCTTCATCGTTCTATAAATTAACAATAATCAAATATTATTTATCTTAAAACTGATAATTCATACTTCATCCTCATCAAATGCACATTTAGCTTCAACATCTGTTGGTTCGTATGCTCCTTTAACAATATTCAAACGCTAAATAACACATAAAGAAAAAAGACAAAAGCAAAAGAATTTAATACCAAAATAAATAAAAATAAAAAAGAAATTTCTACTTTTTCATAAAGTGGTTGATATTTGCTTAAATAACGACATTCAAGTGCGTGAACTTCTTCAAAAAAATTTGCTTCAATTTTATGATGTTCAACTTGAAGATTTCGAAGTGCATTTACACGACGTACAACTTCTGGTGGTAAACTATAAACAAAATAAATTTTACTAGACTTGAAATAAAACAAAAAACAAAAAAAGAAAAAACAAATCAAATCTATTATCGACTTTTATTCATAATCTTTTTTTTAAAAAGATGAATAATAATTATTATTATCAAAACTATCATTAGAAGTCATTTACTTGATCAAAAAGGAAAATAATACTAATAACAACACAGGACAAAAATATCAGTTATAATAACCTAATAAGAGAACACACATACACTTGCCGAACCTTAACAAAAAAGGCTTTCAATATACAAGTATCATTACTCTGTATTTCTATGACATTTTGTCGTATGTCTACAATAAGAATAGAAGAAAAAAATAATCTACATTTTATCAGCTTTCTCTATATTTTTCTTCTTTTTGGTGTTATAAGAAGAAAATAATGAATAATTATAAACTCCTCATGTTTTTCATAGATGTCATAAGATTTTTACATTGAATATCGTGAGCAAAGCGTTAGAATATTCTAACAATGTGGATTTAATATGATATAAAATATTTTTGTTTTTTTTGATTGCATTACTCATAAGGTAAACTACATATCTATATATATATCATCAGGGTTGAAAAATTCAACTTATTTTGATGATGGTGAGAACAAAAACAGCTTCATTCCTTACAGCAATACACAACGGTAAGACTGGAAATTTTAGTAAATGCAAATAAAAATTTCTTTCTGAATCTTGATGATTTAGAGATGTATGATATCATGTATAAAAAAATGAATTCTTTAATACTCGTTTTTGAATTATATTCTGATTTATAAAATAATTCGCTTAAAATTATAGCGTATTTAACTATAATCTTTAGTTCCGGTTGAAACATGTTTCCTACATATCTCTACTCACGATATCCAATGATATGAGATCACTAGTCGTAAACAAAAAAAAACCAAGATCATGATTTTGTAATACTATAATCTCGTTACTTTCGTCATTAGGTCGACTTTTTTTTTTTTTTGAAGGGATCGCACATTTTCTGTACTGAATCAACTTGGAATAGTAGTGCAACAGTTTAACAGAATTTCATAATAGCACTGCAGTAAACACTGAACATTTTTAGTGAGAAAAAAAATACATAGCTCTTCTTCTTCGCTATGAAAACTCATATTCTCAATCGTATTAAATCTCTTTCAACAAAATATTTTTAAGTTCTTCAATTTTTGTGTATATAGTTAGATAATCAATTTAACTATCACGAAGATATTAAAGAAAAACTAACCTAAATTTCTTAACTATAATCATATATGAGTGAAGAACGCAATCATTGTACAATTGTGTCTCGAAAAGGAAAATGTCTATAACTCGAGTTCAATTCAATCGATTTTGATAAATTTTTTTCTTTTGTTTTACTGATCTAAAGATAGCCATTCACTTCTGAAAAGATCAAATTTCCGAGAAATCATAGCAACAGTGCCAAACACATAGTTTCCTACGGTCATCTGTTGGAAGAAAATCAAGTTTTTTTTTGTTTTTATTACGTTATGATCTGTTTTTAAATTAGTTTGACAGTTAGAGTTGTAGAGCTCGATAAAAAGCTTTCAGAATATAGTTTTAGTTTAAGCTTTCGGTCAAGTTTTATAAATGAAAAATTGTCGATAACGAAATTATTTTTGCGTAGGACGACATTAAAATCATTGGCATTTCATTTGAGAAGTAAAAAAAGTTTGTTTCATAAACTGTCATAAAACAACAATTTCAAACAAAATTTAAATTATATTCATGCTACATGTTAGGCGACCTCTTTAAAATTTGTTTTGCCTATAACCCAATGAAAATTGAGCCGTGTGTCACAAAAATTTTACACGTTTTGTCAATTTATATAGTAGAGTAATATTCCAAAAAGTCAAGCAAAAATCCTTTTCCGTTCGAGAGAAAATTTAGTTTTACTAGCAAAGTGTAGAGCGACATTTTTTTTTGAAGTATTCACACGCACAAGACTAATTGATATACGAGAATAGCAGACAGAAATTAACTCTGACTCAGGAAAATGTTAGAAAAATATTGTTTTCATACACAATCGATATCGCTCTATTAAATACAACACTTCGTTGTCTTTTATTATTAAATTTATTTTTATCGATATTTTTGCTCGAACCATCCAATGTCTAATGTTCTTCACTCATATAATACTAACTGAACGACGAATATCCTGAAAAAGCGTTTGTGCTCTTAGTTTATTACTCCAGAAATACTACACTTTTACAGTATTTTTCGACAGAATACCGTAGTTCTCTAAGGAACAGCAAGAAAACTGACTTTCAAATTTCGACTTGAAATTTTCCATAGAGACTGGTCTCACCGAGAATAATTTCTTTCGAAAGTTTCAGATCATTTCATTGTTCCTATCCTAAGATATCGCTATGATAAAAGCATGTCTTTGACATCGCTCCTATACATTAGCAGATTTGATATTCTTATTTCAGGATAGGTGCGAATCAAAACACTTGAAACTTTCACAATAAATTACTCTCGTTACGCCATATCTCTGTACAAATTTTCAAATCGAAAATCATAAATCAGTTTTCCTGAGAAGAACTACAGCATTCATTACGTAAAAATGTAGTATCTATGCAGCAATAAACTATGAGCACGAACTCTTTTCACGATATTCATAGATCATTTGTGTCTACATCATACATAAAGTCCCGACTTAAAAGTAACTTATTAGTTGGAGAACTTTCCTTGTAAGTATACAGAGTTCCCTAGAAGAGATAATCACATTGTATTCAGGAGAATCGAATAGGTTTTAGTTGAATAATCTTAAGGATTCGATATCTTTTTTTTCCACATTATACCTTCCCACAAGAAATGATCCAGCCTCATCACCCATTGAATCAATTCGTTGTTGTACATTTTGAAGAAAACCCGGATTTCCAAGTGCCGTTGAAGGTGTACCACTAGCACTAGCACCACTAGCAGATGGTGACGTTACTGTTTGTGCTGATGGTGATTGAACACCGGTTGCTGGTGATTCACCGGTTGAAGGTGGTACTTGAACATTATCGTTTTTCTCCATTCTATATTTCTTCTAGAAAAAAAAGATCCATAAAAAAAATAATCGGAAAGTTTCAAACGTACTTCTCTACAAAAAAAAAAGATTAAATATACAAACACATTCAAATTTTAAATCTATAAAAATATTAAGAAAAAAGAAAAAGAGAAATCCATCAGAAAATAAGAAGACAAATGATAATTGTTTTGCTGCGCAATTCTTTGGATTTCTTCATCTATCTCTATGTCCAATCAACCAATCGAATATCGATTGAGCAACACATCTGCAACTTTTTATCTATTTCAAATTTCTTTTCAAATATATTTCATTATCATAAAAATAATTTTTTTTAGTATATTTTTTATTAAAAACATATATTGCAAAAAACAAAATAAACATTTATCTAGCGACCTCATCTATTGGATATGACAGTTAAACAATGGATTGAGGAAAAAAAATCACATTTGATCGTCATCATTATTATTTTTTTTTTTTATTTCTATATGATTGTTTATTATTTAACTCATATTGTTTATTTCATTTTAATTTAGATATATAAAAAAATTTTCCTTATGTCGAATTTTGGTGATTCAACTGATATCCGTGATTCTCCGGAACGTACTGGAATATCTAGTAGTAATAATCTATCATCATCCATTGATAGTGAAGAAACTGCTTTATCAAAATATGAACATGAATTAGAACGGATGATAAATGAAAGTTTAGTTAATGGACAAGATTTATATACACAAAAATTATTTATTGCCTTTCAAAATGCTGCTAAAGCTGTAACAAAAATGTTTCGTGGTAAATTAAAATATTTCAAAAAAACAAAAACAAAGAATTTTTTTTTCTTTATATTATTTTTTTTTTCAGAACGTTCTAATGGAACGGCTAATTGGAATACATTTCATGCAGCAGCTGGATCAGTTACAATGCTTTATAAAGGTAAGAATTTTATATAAAATTAATATTTAATTTTGTTTTCTTTTTTTATAAATAGAAAGTCTTGATGCATTGAAAGATACTGTTCAATTAGGTATTATCAATGGTGAACAACGTAAAACCAAAGAATTATTATGTTGGGCACGTCGTAAACAACGTCGTCATATACGTACAGAAGAAGTTTATGATTATTTAATTGGTCGACCACCATATCGTTTTGCCTCTCGACCTTATAATTCAAACAGTTCATTATCAATAACTGAAATCGGTAGTACGAACAGTGGTACAACAAATAGCAGTAGTTTACGTCGACAAGATTCAGCTACAGAATTAACAACAAATCAAAATCAACCTATTGTTGATGATTTACAAACATTTCGACAAGCACTTGTCATGCATGGTAAAGAAACGAAAAAAAAAAAAAATTTTTTTTTTCTTTATTTTTTATTTTTTGTATTATTTTCATTTTAGATATTGATAATGCTAATCGTAATGTTCATTCAAATTCATATCGTCATCAATCACCATCACCACCAACAACAGCTCAACAACTTGAAAGTTTTGTTCGTCAACAAGTTGCTGATCATTTAGCACGAAAACGTGATTGGCATTCAGCAGATCTATTTAATGGTTCAAATGCATCGGATTTTCAAAAACCAAAACGTGGCCGACACATGTGAGAAAAAAAAACCAAAATTTCTATTCAAAAATCAACTTATTTCATATCTTTTTTTTTTCGTCTCGGCTGTATTTATTATTATTATTATTTTTTCGCGTAACGCGGGTATTTTTCTTTTTCATTTTGCTTATCATCCAAAAATATCTTTTTTTTTTTGTGCTCTCTTGGATTTTCTTTTCATGTACAGTTGTTTAATCCTGTTTGTTCGCTGTTTTTTCTTTTTTTTTTGTTCTAACTATCTGGATGATATTGCTCAATTTAACTTTAAAGGTATGGTATCGTCATCGTTGTCGTTGTTTCCTACTACTTTAATTGATCATGTTCTTTTCTTTTCTGTTCTTTTTTTTCTTGTCCCACTTTCAAAATAAACAACTATAGACAAATAGAAATACGAATGGTAATTGATGTGATCAATAGAATAAAGATGCATCAATATCTATTTGTTTTTTCGTGAAATTTATCATGAAAATAGATCGTATTTTTATTTGTTTTCCATTTTCAAAGAAGATTTCTTTATAGAATTCAAACGTATTATAAAATCATATAATTATAAATTCTAGAAGCGATTTTGTAAAAGTAATTTATTAAAAGCATGTGTTTCTTTTCTATAAATAAATTAACATACTAAAATACTTTTAGGTGAAAATTTAAGACTTAATTAAATAATCTTGTGGAAATACTATATAATAAAAATAAATAAATAGCTATTTTAATTCAATACTTTGATATTATTAAAAACAATACAATTAGAAATGCCCACATATAGACCTTCATATTATGTCACGTGTACTTCACATCACACATGATGAGTCATGTATTTATTTAATAACGTTATAAAAAGAGTAATTGACAAATTAAAGCCACAGAGGTGTAAATATGATGCAATAAAATTCTTTCATGTGCCGACATAATGATTTTGCTTTTGTTGAAATAATTTTTAATTATTATCTTTATATCATACAAATAATATATTCCAAAAACAAAATCAATTTACTAGTTTTTCTTTAGGGATTAAAATCATAAATATTAACTCATTGGTGGCCAAGTCCGTAAATCTATAGTTTCAAATTTTGAATAGACGCCGAAGCTGAAATATGGTAAAACAGGTCTTTTCAATATTTGTTTTGTTTTGAAATAGATGCCACTGCTAACAGCATTAGCATCTTTTAATTAAGTATAAGTGCAAAAGTTATAATTGCCGATAATTTCCAAAATATACCATGTTAACAATAGATTTTTATTGTATTTGCTCTTAAAATAAGTCTGCCATAAAAGGATTAAACACTTCATTAATACTGATATCAATCTGTATGTATTGATAATGAGTATATATATATCGAAAATTCCATACATCAAGTTTTTGTGTTATTAAATCTTTAGATATTTTAAAATAAACTTAGTGATGTATGATTTTTTAAAAAAAATATTTCATGACTATTTAGTTCATTGCATATTTTTTAGAAAGACTATGAATTGATAGTTTGTTTTTTTTCTATTCTTGTTAAAAAAAATTTCATATCGTCATTAATGAATATGTTACTTCTTTTACAAAAAATATTTTAAACGAATACTTTTGATTAATCATTTTAGGTTTTTTTTTTTCAATAATTATTATTCTATTTAAAAATGGAAAATAAAATTTCATTTTATTATTTTAAATAAAAGTTTATTGACATATTTCTATAGTTAGAAATACTTAATTATAAATTCAATATCTATTATGATCACTATTACATTTATATCGTAGGAAAAAAAACTGATTCACCTATATTAGTCATACATATATAAAAATTTTTATTTATGAAAATTTTTTCTTATTAGATGAAATAAATTACAAATATTATGTCATATTTTATTGTTATACATTATGAACAAATGAACATTATTTTGAATGTCAATTATTCATATTAAAAGATAGTTTGTTCGAATATTCTTTCATTACCAGTGTCAACGTTGTATTAAAACAGATCGAATATGACGTTGTTAAATATATATGTCTTTTACTAAATCAATGTATGATAAAGACAAATAAAAGATAACAGTGCATTTTTTTTTGTTTGATTCGTGAATCGAATTAAGGAGACTTGGAAATTTTGTTTGAATTTAATTGAAATATTAAATGATTCTATTTTGTTTTACTAATTCAAAACTTACATTTCAATGTTAAACAGTTTTTCAATTAAATGAAAAATTCTGTTTTCATAGATTTCATGATGCTTCTTCTTTGTATGTTATATATATCAAAAGTTAACATATACCAAAAAAAAAACAAAATTTAATAATCATTATTTCATTGAACGTATGTGTATTTGCTTTATAATTCGATAACAAAAATAAAAGCAATAAAAGTCTATGAAAATTTTTTGTTCTATGTTCGAAAAGCAGATGTCATTGATTTTGCTCATTATTCTCTCGCTCAATTTTCACACACATTCACAAAAAAGTTTTCGTATAAATATACGAAAAGAAAACAAATCAATAAAGAAACATCATCATCATCATCATCGTCGTCTGTCTAAAAGGCACACTAAAAACACAAAAGGAATAGTTTTGAAATAATAAGAACGAACAAAGCACAAAAACCGGGGTGGGACAGTTGCAGAAAACAAAGAAAAAAAAATAAACGAAAGCGCGATATAAAAAAAAAGAAAACAAAAACAAAACTTCTTATCGATCTCATTTTGGTGTTGGTGAAGATGCTGATGATAAAACAGTATCATTTGCTGAAATTTTTGTTAAATGTAATCGTTTAAATTGTTCAAGTGATGCAAGATCACATAGGGATTCTAATTTATTTCCAACTGATATTGATGAACCATTAACAGCTATTTCTTTTGTAGGAATAACATTTCCACCATTTGAAGTAGTATTTATAGGGAGACGAATTATATTAGAACCGCATGAAACCAAATAGAGACCGCCTTAATAAAAAAAAAAAAAAAAAAAAAAAAACAAAGATTTATTAAAAAATTCTTTTAAATCAATTTAATATTTTTAATTGAATTTACTTACCAGTTTTTATAGAATCATTTGAAAGTATGTGTATAGTAAATAGAAAATAAGAAGAAGAAGAAGAAGAATATGGGTGTATACATGCATGATTTATGTATAGAACATGTGAAGGCCAAGGAAAGAAGATCGAATATTGTCCAAATAGGTGTTGTAAATATTTAAATGTAATGTATTTATTTGTTTCTTTTTTTTTTAACCCAACAGACCTGTTCGTGTTCGTGGTATTGTATTTGCACTTTTAGTTCGTATTGATGAATCAAATGTTGTATTAGATGAAGTCATGCTTGTTTTAGGTAATATATTTGTCGATATTTGTGGTATATTATTTGTCGGTAATAAAATACGATTAATATTATTATATTGAAGATTATTTTCTGATGAACGTAATGTTTGTGAATATCGACCATTTCTTGAACCATTTTGTGAAAGTGTTATTGCCTAAAATAAAAAGATAAAAATCAAAAGAAAAAAAATCTTATAAATTAAAATATAATCGAATATTGTTAAGTTGTTCATCAAAAAACAAAAAGATATACATTTCTTGTTGATCGTGTTTCAAATTTTGATTGCATATGTTGCTGTTGATTGGTAAAATATTGTTGAAAAACTTGTGTGGATGGTCCATTATTTGCCATATATCGATTTAATTGTGTATTAGGTAATTTTGAACCAACATATTGAACTAAAGAAAGATTTTGTGATGATTCAGCTATATCAATTGGTGCCTAAAAGAAAAATATATCATAAAAATTGAGCTCATGCCAACTACATGATCATCCAAAGAAAGTCTGATGAGTCATGAGTAATCATAATCATTCAACAAAAGTCAAACCCACACTTAAACAGTTATTTTATATGCCGATTTAGACATTTTACCAAATACGAGATCATTCAAGGCCATCGAAAAATACAAACAACACCCATAGGATTAGCTACCGTCATAGGCAACGTACCAGCAAAGCAATGGAGTGCAATTGCTTCCCTCTCCAAAAACGACCTTGGGAAAACTATAGTAACTTATTGCTTTTTATAAGTGTCTTTGTTTTATAGACTTTTTAAGTGCAACTTTGCTACTCATATGAACATGAGTGGTATACTAGCAATATAGTATGTACAATTGCTTCGCCTTGAAAAATGACCTTGAGCTACTCATGACTAACATCATTCATGATCATTACAAAAAACCCAGCAAATCTCGTCTGTTGGCTATTCGAACTACAAAATAATACGGATCTAAAAATCGACATATATCTGGTTTAGAACAGATTAGTATATTTCGAGTTTGTGAATTTTCATAGTGAAAGCAGGGTCCTCGATTAGAGAAGGCGAAGGATGTTCTTTCTATATGTCTGACTTTCTATCAATTTTGCATAGCTTCGTGGTAACGTCAGATGAAAACCGAATCTACAAACATCAGTTGTCTGTCTCTAGTAGAAAGTGAAGCAAAACTAAGTAAACAATGTCATTGCGAGGTGAATAAAATTAGGACAAGCCCTTGGGGAGAGATGGTCTAGTGGCAGGTCGTCTGTTGTGAAAGGAATTAGGTCACGGCGGGCTGGTTCTTCTCTTTTCCTCCGGTCACCATTTATAACACCCTGAGGATGAAAGCGCTATTTGTCGAATTTCTAGTCCCTTCCACCCCTAGAAAAATATCAACAACCCTGAATGCAGATAACTATTTTTGTTTATGGTGATCATGTTGGCATTAGTTGTATTTTTAGATAATCGCGTATTCAACAAAATATCTAGATCGATAATTAATTCCATATGAAGTAACTGTTGGAATATAGATTTAACTTTTATGATCGTTTTTTTTTACAAGAGCCCATAAAAAGTTTTATATTCTTCAAATTTATTTACTGAAGGATGATATTGTGTATTTGTTACTGTATTAGTATTATTTGTAATTGGTACATTAGCCATGGTTCCTGGTGTACCAAATAACAAACGATGACACATATCGACAACACCTAGTTGTTTATTAAAAAA